TCTTCTCCAAGGAAGAAGGGATGGGCACGCACCAGACACCGCCTCCAGCTGCTTAGTGAGTGCGTGCATGATGACATCGTTCTCCACTATGTAGCCCATGTCGTCTAAATTATCCTTATCGAACATTATCAAGGCCTCTGAGCAGCCATCCCACACCTGGAAACAAAAGGAAAAGATGCATTAATGCCAAGGCAAGGGAATACGCTTCTAATCAGAAATCAAGTATTGCTTTTCCAAGTGACAGAAGCACACGGTCACTGTCAAGTGAGGTGAGAAGATTCTCAACGCCCTCCCCCCTTCCTTAGACTGCAAGTGAGCCATGTCCAATTCCTCCCACACTCACAGGAAATGAAGGGCCCCTGGAGAACAGGGACCCCAGTGTCTTAACACAAGCCCGACCAAGACATCTGCCAGGGTGAACAAGGTAGCAGAGGCACCTGCATGCGCCGAAAGGCTCTGTATCTCATGTTGCAGACGTGATCCCAGGCACCGAAACCTACAAGAGAAAGGCTCTGTGGACCAGAAGCGCTCCTGGACACCTGCGCCCGCTCGGGCTTTGCAGCCTGCGAGAGGCAGCTTTCTTGCTCTCCTATGACAGAAGAAACCCGCTCTGCTCCCATCCGCTATGGTGCTAGGAGCTCTGCCACTATATTCCTAGTCCCTGGCTGGGCAGCGTGGAGTGGGGGAGGAAGGCCCCAAGTCAAGTCATGTTTTAAGAAGGCGAACCAAAGTCACATCATCTTTTTCTTCCTCATCTTTTTTTCTCCAATCAGATTTTGTCTTTTTTTTTTTTTTTTTTTGGTGGAACTGGGGATTGAACTCAGGTCCTTGGTGCTTGCCAGGGAAGCGCTTATTCCACTGAGCCATGTCCCCAGCCCCTCTCCAATCAGATTTTATGGGCACATTTATTTTTTTTTTTATTGGCATATTTTAAATAGGCACAACACTCACACCCCTCACAGAGCACTTGCACCTTACACGATGCAACTTGATTCTTTTCCCCTCCCCCTCTGCTCCTTCCAATCCCTCCTCCCTTCTCCATTTACAAAAGCTTTCTATTTTTTACTTCTTTTCTCATTATCTTACTTTCCCCCTCTTTCTTCTCCTCCTCTCCTCTCTCGTTCCCTTCCCCATCTGAACATCTTCTTCCTAGGTCTCAATATCTATTACACATTTTGGTCCTGATTTACATTTTGGTTCCTCACACCGGAGGAACAAGGCAAGAACCTTGTCTTCTGCAGCTGACCTTCTAGTTAGAGACTGAACACCAGACACTAAAAGACAAACGCATCATGCCAGGCAGCAGTAAGGGTCACGAGGAAGCTGAGGCAACACAAGGAGCCAGAAAGTCCTGGAAGAGCACGACAGGCAGCCGCTGACTCCACTCCCGGGGTGCAGGCAGTCTGCACTTGCCTGCCCCCGAAAGCACGGGACAGGAAGGAGCTCGCCGCCTGAGGGCCGGCTGTGGGGATGGAGAGCAAAGGTTCATATGAGCTCAGGCTCGGTGCCAACAGCGAAGCGCTTCTCCAGGGCCAAGTTCCCCCACTGCAGGCAGCCTGCCGGGACACCATCGCCACTTACTGCTGAGCAGGGTCGCAGAGCCCGGGGACACTGAGCTGACTCTGTTGCTGTACATTTCCGGCAACTTCTCCAGGGCTTTCTTTGGGCCTGCTTCTAGCAACAGGATTTTCTTGTCATGAAAGTGAATATCATGTCCTGAAAAAAGAAAAATTTTATGTAGTTTTAGAAAAACTGTGAATGTTTTGCTCAACAGGATAATAGTGTACTGGACATTTCTAAAGCTAGGAGGGTTTGAGATTTCTCAACATGCAGAAATGATAAATGTTTGAAGAGATAAATGTCTAACCTGGTTAAATGTACAGTGTTTACACATATCACATGGTATATCACTACTATGTACAACTTTTATTTCAGCTTAACAATAGATCTTAACCAATCTCATAGAATTAACAGGACTGGGCTGGAGAGATGGCTCAGTGGTCTAAAGCACCTACTTAGAACAAGCTTAGCAAAAGCATCAGGGACCGCGGTTCAATCCCCCAGCACCACATGCCAGCCAGCCCGCCCCCTGGTGGGCTGAGCTGGTCTCTCTCTCTCTCTCTCTCTCTCTCTCTCTCTCTCTCTCTCTCATAAATAAAAAAAAAAAAAAAAAAAAATAAAAAAAAAAAAAAAAGAATTAACAGGACTGAGAATTATGTAAATTGAACAACCTGTATATAGCATGAGAGATTAAAGAGAAAATGAGGTAGTCAGGCTCAGTTTTTTCCTCCACCATGTTATCTGTCCTTTTATTTATAATTGTTTTATCTTACAAAAAAATAAAAAATTTCCTAACAAAAGTATGTACATATAAATTTTAAAAAGCAATGTGTGGTGGTATATGCCTATAATCCCAGAGCTCAGGAGGCTGAGGCAGGAGGACTTTGGGTCTCAAAACCAACCTTCACTACACAGTGAACTGCAGGTCAGTCTGAAATACAGTGAGTGTCCCTGCAAAAAAAAAAAAAAAAAAAATTGAAGAAAATTGTATTAACTATTCAGGGCTTAGAATATAAATTTCTGGGGCCAAGGAGATGGCTCAGTAGAATAAGTGCTTCCCTGGCAAGCGCAAGGGTCTGAGTTCAATCCCCGGTTCCGGGAAAAAAAAAAATTACAGGGTACAGAATGAACACTACTCACACACAGCCCTAAGCAGTACTTACTCCATCACTCCATCCGGAGCTGAGCCCCACTCACAAGGTAAAGCTTCCCTGACAGAGTGCGCTACCTGCTGTGCGCTTGAGGAAGCAAATGGGGGAAGAGCCATTCCTAGCAGACACAACGTGCCAGGACAAAAAAAAAGAAGGAATTTAATGTTGGGTTTTTCGTAGGCTGAGGCAGGAAGATCACAAGTTCAACGCCAGCCTCAAAATTTAGTAAAACTGCATCTCAAAATAAAAACCCTAAACTGCTGGGGATGTACCCTGCCCAGTGCTTTATTTGGGTGCCACATATTTCAATCTTCAGAGAAACCACTAAAGATGACAATTTTGGGCTGGGAGCATAGCTCAGTGGTGGAGCACAACCCCTGCGTTCCATTTGTAGTACAACCAAAAAAAAGGAGGGGGGGGAACTCCTGCTCAGCTGAAAAATGGTATACACAAAACTGTCACAGTTTTTAAATTAAGAACTTAATTTTTAGAGACTCCAAAACACAGATTTTGCACCAACAAATCTGATCCTAAAACATCTGTAAAGAAAAATAAAAACTAGCACTCTGGGGCTTCGTGAATAGGTGACTGACTCAACACAGATTCCAGCAGGGTCTGAGGAAACCACAGTCCTAGAAGAGGCAAGAATGGGAGCTGCCAAGAAAATGGGAAAGCTGCGTGGGGGCGCAGGCGGGTAATGGCAGCACTCGGGGCTGAAGCGGACCGCCGCCTTGAGTTCTCGCACTGAGTTCAGCCAGCCTGGACTCCATAGTGAGGCCAGTTCTGCACCCTGCCCTTCAGAAAGAAGGGTGTGGGTGCGGACAGGAACAAACACGGGGCATTTTGCTTAACACTGATGAAAGAAAGCCCCACACTGGTTTCACTGTTCATTACATTGTGAGACCTGGTTTGACAAAGAGGAGCCACCATCACGACAGCATGGGAGAAAAGCCAAGTGGGGCAGCAGGGAGGCCCCTCTTGCTCTGCAGCAGCACTGCAGCAACCCCCCCCCCCATCTAAGTACAGCCCTGCACCCGCCTTACTTGCAGGAGCCAGGGCCCACTCCCAGCACAAAGCAGGCCTACCCTGCCCTTCCACTGGGTAGTCACAATTCCTCCTCTGCTAGGCTGTAAACTCTCCCAGGGCAAGAGCCATCTCTTTATAATCACCCACAAATGCTGCAGATCCATGAAGTGGATACTATATGCCTGTGACACCCAGTGACAGGCAGGGAAACTAACAATAAAGTTTTGGAACACATTATAAACTATACCCAGATTCCTTTTTTCTAACACTTCAGTAGTTACTTAAGGTGCCCATAGCCTAGCTACCCAGGAGGCTGAGGCAGAAGGATCACTTGTACCTGAGTATTTGAGGTCAGCCTGGGCAACACAGTGACTTTCCACCGCTGGAAGGGAAGGGAAGGGAAGGGAAGGGAAAGGAAGGGAAGGGAAGGAGGGAGGGGAGGAGGCCTTGGAAGAATAAGTTTCTTTTTTTTTTTTGGTGGTATCAGGGATCGAACTCAGGATCCTGCACTTGCCAGGCAAACACTTATTCCACTGAGCTATCTCCCCAGTCCCCAAGAACAAGTTTTTAAAACACCTGGCAAACTATGGGACCGTTTCTGAACTGAAATAAAATGATCGGGAAATAAAGATGTTTCAAACCAGAACCAGAAAGTGTGTGAGCCTGAGGAATCAAGGAAGACTTCCAGGGAAATACTGTATTAAAGGCCTACTGGAAATTTTTTAGTTTTAAAGAGCAACGTCCAAACAGCTCAGCATGTAGCAAAAATAAATAAACAAATAAGGGGCCGGGGAGATGGCTCAGTAGAATAAGTGCTTCCCTGGCAAGTGCAAGGACCTGAATTCAATCCCGGGTTCCTAAAAAAAAAAAAAAAGAAAACATTTTAATTAGATTCCATCTCCATAAAACTGTCCAGGAGAGGCAGCGGTTACCCAGGGTTAGGAATTGTGGAGAGACTACTGAGGAGTTTCAAGATTCTTTTTAGGGTAATGAAAATATTCTAAAACTTAACTGTGGCAGGGTTGTTGTTGTTTTCTTTCTTTCTTTTTTTTTTTTTGGTACCGGGGATCGAACTCTGAACCTTGCGCTTGCTAGGCAGGCCGTCATGCCACTGTGGCAATTGTGGCAGGTTTTGAGCCCGGCGTGGTGGCGCACATAGGGAGGCTGAGGCAGGAAGACTGAAGTGAAGCCTGCGCTACAAAGTGAGCTCAAGACCAGCCAGAGCTGCATAGCGAGACACTGTCTCTGGGCAAAAAGAAGGCAAAACAACTGTGACGATGGCGGCACAACTGAGAATATATTAAAACCCACTAAACTGTACTTTAAAGGATTTTTTCGGGGGGCGGTGGCTGGCTCAGGATCCCTTAAGGTCTTGAGGATGGTAAGGCATGAGGATCTGGGGATCAAATCACAGTATCCTGCGCCTGACTGCGTTTGCATAAGCAGGCACTTAAACAACTGAGCTAACTGGCAGGTCCAATGTACGTTTAAATAGGTGGAGTTTATAGTACGTGAATTTGAAAAGCACGGTCAGCGCAGCGCGACCCCAGTTGCCCTCCAACCGCGTCACTACGGGGCAGGCTTTCTCCCCAAAGCGCAGGCTCTCCAGCCCCGCCCACTTCGGGCCGCGCGGGCTTCCCCAGCCCCGCCCACTTCGGGCCGCGCAGGCTCCCCAGCCCCGCCCACTTCGGGCCGCGCGGGCTCCCCAGCCCCGCCCACTTCGGGCCGCGCGGGCTGAGGCACCACGCGGGTCCCCGGGTCTTGGGGCTCCTCTAGCCCTGGGAATGGAGCGGTAGATCCAGGCCGCTCGGTCTTTGGACAAACAGCGTCGCGGCTGCGACTATTCCCATCGCCTCGTTCCCCGCCACCGTCGGCCTGGAGAAGCGCTTACCCAAGGCACAGGCCATGGCAGCGCCCACCATGCCTCCTCCCGACACTACCACGTCGTACACGGCGTCTGCCGAGCCGGCCGACCACCTGCGGCAGGGGACCAGCGAGCCTCTGCGGGCAGCTGCAGGCAGAGCACCACAGCGACTCACAGCCAGCCGAGCCGCCATGACGGCGGCCTGCGTCGCCTCCGGAGACCTGCAAGACCTGCCTTGGACAGAACTTCCGGGCTGACGCTGCCAATCCTGCGCCGCCTCAGCCGCGTCCCATGAACCGGAAATAAAACGCGCGAAGGGGCTAGACCAATCAGAACACGAGTCTTGCCTCCTGGGACGGGATGGACCGGAAGGGTGCCCTGAGAGCCAATCAGAGACCAAAGCTAGGAAGGGGCGTGCCTGGCGTCGTCAGGGTAGCCACCTCCGCTGTCACCTCGGCTGCTGCATCTGCCTGGCCGCGGAGATGGCTGTTGGGGGCCCTGCGACAGCCCCTGGCAGTGCAGAGTGCAGCCGTCAGGTGAGGAGAGAAAGAAGGGAGGCAGCAGGACCACGCCCCGGATAGAAATCCCCGAGAGAAGAAACTGCTTTGCGTTGCTTTGGAGACACTGCCGGGGCGTGTTGGGGGTGGGGCGGAAGGTTAATTTTGGAGGGCTGGGGAGATAGCTCAGCGGTCTAAGCGCCTGCATGGCAAGCTCAAGGCCCTGGGTTCGATCCCCGAGTCCGCATACCGTGCCGGTGCCGGATCCCAGGGCGTGCCGAGCCGGCCCTGAAATCAGTCGTGGTGATGCCCCAGAACGTCGTGGTGGTGCGTGCCTGTAATCCCAGCCCTGGGGAGGCTGAGACAGGAGGATCACTAGAGTCTGAACTGCATAGTGAGACTCAGCATCTAATAAATAAATAAATAATAAAATCGGACGCATTTTTAGGTAGTGGGTAACCAGCCTTGTCTCTCTGAGTCTTGAACTACTTTGCCTTTTTAGGAGACTGTGTATGGGGCCATAGCAATGCACCGTTAGCCGGGCTTGGTGCCGCATGCCTGTCATCCCAGCACCGGCAGGCTGAGGCAGGAGGACCGTTGCGAGTTCGAAGCCAGCCCGCCCTACACAGTGAGCTCGAGGCCTGTGTCAGAAAAGACAAACCAAACAAACAGTGCAATGTGTATGCTAATCCTCTCAAACAGCTTATAACCCGTAATACAGTTGTGCCCATTTTGTGTGGAAGAGAAAACTGAGGCATGGACAGGTGAAGAAACTCATCTCAAAATCCTAGACAGAAAAGTAGGTTGGTGGAGTTTAGTGCTAATGGGGTGGAGGGTACAGTGTGTGAGGTTAGGGGACTACCAGGGGATACGGAGTTTCTTTTGGGAGTCATGAGCATTTTCTAAACTTTGTAATAATTAGACAATATTGACTATGCTAAGAAACATTTAAATATAAAATTTAGGAAGTTGTGTGCTATGGAAGTTATACTTCAATAAAATTGAAAACTGTAAAAGCCGGGTAGGTCGCTCACACCTACAATTCCAGCACTGAGGGGACTGAGGCAGGGGGGATCACTGTGAGTTTGGGACCAGCCCAGACTACATAGTGAATTCAGGGCCAGCCTGACCTGCATGGCAAGACCCTGTCTCAAGAAAAAACAAACAAACAAACAAAGGCCATTGTGACTTTCTTTACATTTGTTGCACTGTTTTTCTTTCTTTTTTTAGTACGGGGTCTCACTGGGTAGATCGGACTCACAGTGATCTGCCTGTGTTCAGCCCCCCAAGAGTTGGGATTAAAGGTGCACGCCATCATGCCCAGTCTCATGTTGCACTGTTTTTCCAAAGTGTCTTTTTACTGTTGTTTCTCCTTTTATTCAGCCCAAATTAGGTTTGCAGGGCCAGTTTCTCCCTCACTCTTCACTTTTACTTTCTCAAACCTTGTCACTGCTTAAAAAAACAGAAAGAAAAAGAAATTTGTCAGGCCAGCAAGATAGTTTAGTGGATTATAGGTGCCTGCCTAGCAAGTGCAAGGTCCTGAGTTCAGTCCCTGGTAGAGAGAGAGAGGGGGGAGAGGGGAGAGGGGAGAGAGGAGAAGGGGAATGGGGAAGGGGAAGAAGGTGGAGAGGGGGTGGAGAAGAGAAAGGAGAGGGAAGAGGGGGAGGGGAGAAGGGGAGGGGAGAGGGAAGAAATTTGCCCAAGATAGCTTAAGTCAACCCTAAAATCCTCCCCACACACATAGCCAGCCCCTTGTGGTTTTCCTAATGTACTACAAATTATTAAACCTAACCCTAAGGATAGGTGCAGTCCCAGTGACCCCTCCTGGGCTTTATCCACAGGAAAGCTTTCTGTAGGACTCCACCGCTATAACTCGCATGGTTTATGTTTTTTGAATACATTTTTTGTCTCTTCTAACTAGAATGAGTTTCAAGGGACCAGAGACCATGACTGTCTTGTTTTTGAACAGTACGCTCCCACAAAGTGTTTTCTGTGCATTCTATGTGAAGTTTGTCATACTCCAGGGCTGGAGATCAAACCCAGCCCTTGAGTATGAGGCAAGTACTCTACCCTGAGCTGTCGCCCTTCCGCCTGAATGACTCACAGAGAAGCTGGTACAGCGTCACATGCTCTGTCATGGTGCTCTTTCACCTGGACTCCACGTCTCTCCTGTTAGCCGTTCATCCCTAATGGCAGAGTATGAGGGATAGTTAGAATATGAGAAGATCAGGGATGTGATGGGAAAGCAAGAGAAGGAGGAAGGGTAGCACTTGAGAGGGGCACAGTTGGGACAAGGCTGCGGGTAGGATTCGTGGGGGCAATGCGTGGAGGGCACACCACAGAGGAGCATCCTGTGAAGGCGGCCTCCTGCGGCACGGGCAGGAGCTTAGCTCTTCATTTTGCTCTCCTGCCCTTCAGCCAGCTCGCCCTGTGTCACACTGTGAAATTTCTTTACAGTGAAAATACATCTTACTTTGTGCTGGGTTTTTGGTCTTATTTTTTTTTTTTTTTTTTTTTTTCAGAACCGGGGATTGAACTCAGGCCCTTGCACTTGCCAGGGAAGCGCTTATTCCACTGAGCCATCTCCCAAGCCAAGGGTTGTTTTTCTTTTTTTCTTTTTTTTGAGACAAAGTCACAGTACATAGTTCAGGCTAGTCCACAGTTTAGGCTGGCCTTGAACTCATGGTCCAGGCTGGCATTGCGCTCAGCCTTCCGGGTGCTGGGATTAGGGCATATGTCACCATGCCTGGCTAGCAGATGCATTTTGGAGACCTTTGAAAGTATAATTTAACCGTGACTTATTTCTCTTCCCTTTCAGATATTCCCACCCAAATCCTCCTCAGACTCTGAGACTGAAGGTGAACTGTGTGGGGCTGGGCTGGTGTTGCCCAGGACTGGCCAACTCCATGAGTTCCTCAGCCCAGAAGAAGACACAGATTCTCCTGGCTCAGCTGGGAGCGTTTGCGGGACCCTACAGCAGAGAGGTGGCCGGGGTCTGCTGGAGTCCCTCTTTGCCTCTGATGCAGACAGTGGTGAGAGCTTCTCTGAAGATGAGGATCTGGAGCATTTCTTCCAGGACAAGAGCCGGGGGAGGCCGCAGTCCCGGAGCCCGCCATCTTTGAGGTAAGGTGCTGTGTCACGCCCTGTCCTGGGCCTCCCTCCCTCCCTTCCTGGAAAGGCAGTGACCACTTCTACTTCTCAAGGCTCCGGGGAGAGCAACTTTTGGGTCAAACAGGCGTTCCAGTTCCCACCCAGGAGCCCGCCACCCTGGGCAGCTCTTAGCTCAATGAAGCACTGACGTTGATTAAAGGGATACCTTTCCCTCCACTGTCCCCCAAGAACGGCAAGGCCCCTAGACCTCAGTCAAGTCTGTCAGGCACATGTGTGCTTTGATCCACTTAACATTTGCTTTCTCCTCTCAATAGCTTTGCAAACAGACATTAGTTTTGCCATTTTACATCTAAAGAAATGCAAAACTTCGGCAATGATCCTGAGAATATTCAGAAGATTCTTTAATCTAGGAGTTAATTGGAAAGATTCTCACCCTGACTAACTATATATACTGATACCTGTGAACT